TAAGAAATCAGATAATTTTTATTATAAATCCTTTTAAGGAGGTTCCATACCGAAAAAAAAATGGTAAGAAAGTTTTCGAAGCAATTGAAATCTGTTAATAAATATGCAAATTGCCTCGTGTAAAAATATCGGATCGATTGCCAATGTAGTTTTTTTGAAAAATGGTATTAAAAATTATGCTCTTATACACGGGCTCTTATGGGAGTTGGGGAAAAAACTTTAATCAAACGTGAATATTATTCTTAAAAATGGTTAGGATCGGGAAAATAACATTGTAATTAAAGAATTAAATATTACTAAACATTTTAAAACAATAAAAATATGCACTTACAATATAATTATTGAGATAATGGAATGAATATACAGGGTGTAACGTAAAGGTGGGGAATAAATTAAACGGTGAATTCTTTAGTTTAAAAAATAAATTTTTGTCATATGAAGTTATGCTCTACGGGTTTTCTTTTCCAAGCTACAGGGCGCTAAAAAATTCCAAAAAATTTAGTTTTTCTCCAATAAGTTTCGAACATTAGAAGATAATGGAATGAAGTTTTATCCATAGCTTAATTTGATAATCCCCGAGTAACAGGAAAAAGATTGGCTTTGTAAGTTACTCAGTGGCGTGCGTACGTCTTATACCGTAAGGCTTTTCGAAGAAAATTGTGGTACGCCAAAACATTTTTTTAATATCTTTTTATGATGCACATTTTATTTTAAACAAAATTACCGTCTTGCGTTTTATTCCTAGCTCTTGTCATTTTTCCGCAAATAAAACTTTTGTAAATACCATTTTTCCCCGCTGCTAACATAGGAAAATGAAAATAACAAAACATTATGATGTATGCTTTGACTCAGGCACCGAAAATGGTCAAATAGGCATTAAAAAAAGACTTATTTGTATTGAAAATGATATTAAAGTATCACATTATTTTAACAATAATAAAAAAACACTAGTGACTTAGGAATTTAAAGAATTTATTGAGTAGGTAATAAGAAATAATAAACAACAAACAAGATTACAAAA